ACAACACAAGCTAAATAAGCCCAAGAGGAGCCCAAGAAGAGATAGAGCCGAAATTCCCCATTGAGAATTTCTCATCATATTTTGTTGGCTATAAAGCCACACTTTGACATTTTTCAAGTTAGGATTTTCGGCCTCCAAACCATGAAGTGTTGATGTGTAGGTGAGACATCCTCCCTCTCATCTTCTTAACCAAAAATTGAACCAACTAAGAGGTAGTCTAGCATCTAAGGCCTCTTGGTTGATCTTCTCTCCATCTCTTGTCCATTTTGGTGTGGTGAGGTAGATGGCTTTTCCTTTGGAGCCTCTTGGTTGAGGAATCTATATGCTAAGAGGAGATTGAAGGCCTTTCCAACAAGGTGATCATTCTTGGTTCTCCAAGAAAAGTCTACAAGGGTAAAAGTTTAACATTTCTTCTCTTTTCTATTTTGTGCTCAAAGAGACTAGATCACAAGATGTTTGGGTTAAAATGAAAAAAAGGCTTAACTTAACTAGAATTAGCATAATCAATCCACCATTATGAATGTTTATGTGTTATATGTTGTTGCTAAGTTCATTCCAAACCATGAGATGCAAAATGTTTCCTTCAACTTTTCCCACTGATGATTTGCCCCTTAAATTTGTATATGACAATGCTTGGCTTTTGACATGTTAAGAGCCATTCGTCCTCAACAATGACGTGGGCTCCTTAAAAAATAACTCATGTTTCTTCTTTTTTTTTTTTTTTTTTTCTTTCTTTCAACGCTTTTAACCAAGCATTATGTCTGGTTTTACTCAAGCCTTCGCCCATGTAAACCTACGGCCAATTTTGGAGCCCAAGACCCTGGATTGAAATCATTATGTGCTTTTAATTTTTGGTTTTTGATTTGCAGCCAGAGTAGAAATTTGATTGGCTGATTTGAATACTAGATTTTGACGAAGTGGGAGAGGAGAGAGATAAAGAAATAAAGACTAGTAAAGTCACCTTTGAAACCTAGAATCCCCGCCTTCGCTCACCTCAGATTTGGAGGGTAGAAAGTCGTTGATCTCCACTGTTTCAGGTGCGAAGAGAGAGAGAGAGAGAGAGAGAGAGAGAGAGAGAGAGAGAGAGAGAGAAGAAAAAAGAAAATTGGTGGGCTGCTTGCTCGTCCTTTTCGATTCAGTGGCGAGGTTGGTGATGAGGGTGGATTTAGAACAGGGGCGACAGTGGGTGACTGCGCGTACAGTGGCTTTGTAGTGTTAGTTTGGGGAAGCTTCATTTAAAACTAGCTAAAAAGTTAGGTCAAAAGATTTGAGAGGGAAAATAGAAAAGAAAGAAACATGTGTTGTTTTTTTGACAACGGGAGAACATTTAGTATTTTTAATTTAAAAAAAAGGAATAAGGGTCAATTGAAAATTAGGTACAAGTTCAAGGAACAAATCACCAGTTTAGCCTTGAGAAAAATAACAAGTGATGAAAAACAAAATCGAGGCAAAATATGATAACCAACAATGTATATTATAATCTTTTTAATCAAACCCTTAGAGCATGTCCACCCCAAAAGGCTAAGGCAAGGGCTGTTATTATTCACGTGAATAGTGACAGCCTTGCCTTTTTTGGTTCCACCCCCAAAAGGCTAGGACAAGGGCAAGAAAAAAAGAAAGAATATGCAACAAAATATAAACTTTTTATGTATTTATAGGGAAAGTGAATAAAATTGTTATGTATTTATAGAGAAAACATCCATAATTTTTTGGCCTTTTTATTTTATTATTTTTATTTTTTAAATTGATTTTTTTTTCCTTTTTTTTGACTCGCTGATGTCAGTGCCCTCAGGCTGAAGCCCAGGCAAAATCTGCCCTTGGGCTTGCCCGGGCTGTAGGTGCTGGGCTAGAGGTCCAAAATCGAGGGAATGAGCCTCTTGCCCTGGCTAAAGTCCCTGAGGTGGAGATGCTCTTAGAGCATCTCCAGCAGCCTCTTCAACCTTAGTCATTAAAGCTGCAACCATTTTCTCTCTTTTCAGGACTGGTAAGTTGTCTCTGGCTCTTCAAACATTTAATTTTACTTTAAAAAAACAAAACCTACCTTGAAAATGTTAAAAACATGCATTTTTTATTTTCATATAATAAATACATAAACATTTTTCAAATGTTTTCATTATTTTCATATTGTTGGAGATGCTCTTAATATTAGGGGTGACATTTTAAATCGAAAAATCGCAAAAACCAACCGACAATTTACCGCAATGAAACCGCAATCGCGGTAAACCGAACCGCATTTGCGGTATTAAGAACTGAACCGCATTTGCGGTTGCGGTTGCGGTTGCGGTATTTGATTTTCAAAACTTGCGGTTATCGCAAACCGCAAAGTATAGCCGCACGGATGATGAAGTTGAATTCTACAAGGAAATGGAACATATGACAACTTGTAAGTAATTAGTTTATTTATGCTAATGTTATTTATGCTTCTTCTTATAATAAAATGTACTAAACTATGTTGTTTTATTTGTAGATAACATTGATGCTCAAACAACACAACGAGGTTCTTTAAATCCACTCACCACCAACACTTAAGTTCGTAACTTTAGCTTGTAACATTGGTGCATTGCATTTTCCTTTTAGTTTGTAACTTTAATTAACTTTGAATTGGATTTTTCTTTTTGGTTGTAACTTTAATTCATTTTGCTTTGCATTTTGCTTTTGGTTTGTAACTTTAAAAGATTTGGAATTGGAATGCTTGAGAAGTTTAACTTTAATTGGAATGTTTGGAATTGTAACTTTAATTTTCTTAGGTTGTGAATGCTTGAGAAGTTGAGGAGATTGTGAATTCATATATGCTTGAGAAATTGAGGTTGTGTATTTATTTATTTAGGTTGTGAATTATTTTTGTGAATGCTTGAGAACTTGCGGTTTTAAACCGCTAATTCTCGGTAACCGCAAAATGCGGTCGGTTTGCGGTTTCAAAAATCACCAAACCGCAAATAGTCGGTTGGTTTGCGATTTGAGTAAAATTCGCGGTTACCGAACCGCAACCACCCCTACTTAATATAATGGGTAAAGTGCCGAATACCCCCCTAAACTATCACATTAGTTGAAATCTACACAATGAATTAATTTTTCAGCTAATTTAGCATTCATACTAAATTTTATAGCCAATTTACCCCCCACTGTTAGTTTTTGGCATTTTCCATCCAAATCTCTATTAAAAAAGTCACATGTTAGGCACATGATTCACTGTTGAATTAAAAATTAATTTTTTTTTAACCTCTCTCTTATTCTATCTCTCTGCTAGACGCTAGTCTCGAACCCACATGGGTTTTTGGCTTTGAACACAATTCCGACAAGTTATTGGAGACCAGCAATTTTTTTTTCTCTGCTTCGCCAAGGAGCTCAAATGAGAGAAATCAATTGAAGAGAGAAGAGGTTAAAATCAATCGTTGGAAAATCCAAATTGGGGGCTGGGTAATATGGGTTTTGGAGGTGCAGGGTAATTTGGGTTTGAAGGGTGTTGGTTCTGATCACAGATATACTTTCTTCCTCACCTCCTTGTTTGTCCTTTGTTTTAGCTTCGATGGTAAATTGTGCCCTCTTATATGAAGCTGAAGGTGCTGAAGGTTTTGTTCTTTCTGAAACACTTTGTTGCAGATCTCACATAGAAATCTATTTGTTGCCATGAGTGATTTGAGAGACAAGGCTATTACTTCAGCATCTAGGTTTGCTCAAGTATCAAAATTCCAATAAAAAAACAGAGTAAAACTGATATTAATCATGCATGATATGTGTGAATTAATGCTGGTTAATTAATTTTGATTTGATGAGAAACCTGGGTTGCCTGGAAAATTTCTCTTCTTCTTTGGCGGTGGTGGCTGTTGTTGAATATCATGTACCGATGATGACTACTGCTGGGTACAAGAAATAGGGAGAGAGAAAAAGAGGCCTAGGAGGAAGAAACAGGGAAGAGAGAGGGTTTGCAGAGGGGAGCTGGGTAAATTGGCTGAAAATTAATTCATGGTGTATATTTCAACTAGCGTGATAGTTTAAGGGGGTATTCAACAGTTCACCCTAATATAATATACAAATTGTAATAATTGACTTCAAAATGAATAACATTATTAGGATTTCTTTCAATTTCATGGACATTTTAGAAAAGACCAAAGAAAAGCGAAATATTTTTAAAAAAGTCGAAATGAATAAAAATGCCTTTATTTATTTTTGAATTTCTTAAATAATTCTTTATATTTGTATATTTTTAATTTGAAAGTTAAAGGATTTTTCCGTTTTTTTTTTAAATTTGGCTTTTTCTAAAAGCGAAATTTTTTTTGCTAAAACATAAATTTACTTTTGTATTTTTATCCAACTTGCCCCACATTTCATGTAACTTCCATCCCCCTGCTGACCTGACACTCACATAAAGTGTGAGCAATTTGTTCTGTGAAACTTTATGCTTCCATGGATCTCCCTCCAAAGTCTGGACATCCGGATTGTTCTTGAAATCCTAGGATACTCATTCACCTGAAAAGGGGAGAAATCCTAGGGCAGTGTTTCCTAATCGCCAGATTAATCTAACGGCTAGAGATACAAAACTGTTCAGATAAAAAAATTAAATAAAAACCGCAATGATTAATTGTACATAGAAAACATAAACTGGCGTCAGTGATGGAGCATGGAAAGTTGCTCCCACCAAATCCAATAAACATACCTTTTTATTCATCTCTCTCTCTCTCTCTCTGCATATCAGTTTACCCATCTGGGTAGTTTTTTTAATCTGCAAAAAGAGCTCTCCATCTTCTTGTTCTTCTCCCTCAGCATTTTCCCATTTCCCCAAAGCAACCAGAGGTTAGACAGAGAGTCTGAGAAATTAAGAGGTGCTCTGAGTCAGTTGAAAATTAAATACCCAGAAAAAAGAGAGGTAAAAACCACATTTACTTTGTAAAAGCTTTCTTCGTCTTCTAGCTTATTTTTTCTTCTAGGTACATGTTGTAGAAAAACGAAAGGAAGAGACAAAGGGTGCGAATAGTTTAGTGATGCCGCCAAAAAATTCTCGAATGGCTGATGCCTGTAGGGCAATGAAGCCTTTTGGCATTTCCGAAGGTCAGACAAAGGCCGCGGTCAAAGAGCTTCTGAAAGTCTATGCAAACAGCTGGGAGTTTATTATTGATGAAAATTACAGACTTTTGCTGGACTTTGTTCTGGACCAGAAGCCAGAGGAGGAAAAGGTTTGTTTTTTACCTTCTTTTTTTCTTCTTCATGTTTTAATAAGATTTTGCTTTTTAATGTTTTATTAATTATTTTAGTGTTTTGTTTATTCAATGCTTTTCAAGATTTTGTTTTTATTTATTTTTCATCTATTATATATGTCATAGAAGAGAAATATTGGAATATCTATTTAAATAGTTTTTTTTATTTGTTACACTTACTGGGCATCCTTATTTTCCCTTTAAAATGGAAAAGGAGTTTTGATCCATGAATCAAAGGTGAGAATTTCTTGCTGTATTATGCATAATAATATTCTCTATGCCCTATATTCCTGTTTACTATTATTACAAATTATGGGTGGGTTGTTGTTCTGTCTTGGAGCTCTCATCAACCATGCAGAGAGCATAATGGTTTTTTTTATATGACGAAACTGAAGTTTTAAGTGTTTTAGCATTTCATATATTTTCGTGCCAGGGAGTGAGATCGAAGAAAAAAGAAGCTCCATCTTATGATAAAACTGAAGTTGTTGAACTTCCAACCAAGAGATATTGCACAAGGCAACGGAAAAAACAGGCATTGTCTCCTTTGAAACACTCCACATCTTGCCTTGAAAAGTCTCCATTAAAAAGGGCACGTCAGAGTAATGAGGATAATCTGTTTTCTGATTCGGAAGAATCTGAAGACTCTCAACCACTAGTAAGAAGAAGTCGCCGAAGACACCAGGAAAGAGAGGTTTTGGACTCTGGGAATAACTTCGATCCTCTGTGTAATCGCAACACGCAACTGGAAGAAAGTCTCAATCTGATAGGTGAAGATAGTTCTTCAGATTTTGATGAAGACGGCTTGAAGTTGTTGGAAATGGAATCGGTGAATACAGACAACAAAGATAATGTTTTTGATTTGCCACATTTTGTAGCTGTATCATCTACTCCAAAGGGTGACCTGGAAATGTCTATGATTTGCCACTCATCTCCACGGTCTGATTTCTGTCCTCCACATTTTGATGAAGCTCTAGAAATGGTGGAAGAGACACACATAAAATCATGTAGGGTTGAAGAATGCTTTGTGGAAACAGGAACTGATTCCATCTTTTATGAAAGTACTGTACAAGATGTTCTTGCCAGTAAATATGATCATCTAAGTTTTCAAAATGAATTAATTTTATGTAAAAATCTTATCAAGGTTATACCCCATATACCCAAACATATAGCTTTTGGTTGTTATGATGGTCTTCAATGGTTAATTGGTTTTGCAAGAAAGGATATTGAGAACATCTTTGGTGAAACCGCAAAGAGATTAAAGGTGATCCAAGGCCGTAGATCTTCAAAATTATGCAAGGTGGAGGCTGCTCATAACTACCATTCTTCACTTGGAGTCATTAAATCCTTTTTTTATATTGATGACATAACTAGAGGTGAAGAAAGAGTGAAAGTTTCCTTGGAGAATGGAAGAAATGCTGAAGATCTGCCAATATTTTTTTACATCCCCAATAATTTAGTTTATAAGAACGCCTATGTGAAATTTTCACTTGCTCGTATATCTCATGAGGGTTGCTGTTCACATTGTTTTGGGGATTGTTTGACATCACCAGTACCTTGCGTCTGTGCGGCTGAAACTGGGGGTCAGTTTGCATACACTCCAGGAGGATTTGTCAAGGAGAAGTTTCTGGAAGAATGTATATCCTTGAAGCTGGAACCTAAACAAGACCACTACTTGTATTGTAGAAACTGCCCATTTCAAAGGTCTAAGAATGAGAAGAGTTCCGTGCCATGCAAAGGCCATTTGTTACAGAAATTTATAAAGGAATGCTGGTCTAAATGCTGGTGTAACAAGAAATGCGGAAACCGGATTGTTCAGCAAAGCATCACTGTGAAGTTGCAGGTTAGTTTGTCCTCTGTGAATTTCAAGGCCCTAGGTAATAATGACCAGATGGGTATAAATTCTAAAGGCGTCTAAGTGGTTAAATCTATGTTGCAGGTGTTTTTGACACCCGAAGGGAAAGGGTGGGGTCTTCGAACACTGGAGGACTTGCCAGCAGGGGCTTTTGTTTGTGAGTATGTTGGAGAGATATTAACCAACACAGAACTACATGAGCGAAATGTGGGAAGTCCTGGTAACAAGAATACATGCTACCAAGTTCTACTAGATGCAGGCTGGGGTTCGAAGGGTGTCTTGAAAGATGAAGAGGTCCTCTGCTTGGACACTACAGTTTATGGAAATGTTGCGAGATTTATCAATCACAGGTGTAAACTCCGTACTCTTATATACCCCAGCCACTTCCTCCAACTGAGTGCTTATAGTATTTATTAGGTTTATATTTCTAGTCAAAGGTGATATTGCATAAGAATTATATTATTCTCTTCTATATAAATTTCAAGGTTACTCTGACCAAAAAGTAGCTCAAGGCTATTACTTTCGTTGTATTGTTTGTCTTGCTTTTCAAGTTTTCCTCTCAGGGTCTTGGATTGATCACAAGCAGTTGTAAGTTTTTGATTTGTCTGCTAGTATGAAACAATATTCTTGTTCTTCTATCGTTGAAAATATTTCTGCCTCTTAGAGAATTTATATCTACTTACCCTATTATGAAAGAAGTAATTTAAGCCTAATATAAGTTGCATACGCATTTATATCCGATCGCACGAAGAAAATCTGATGCGCTTGGTTGCTTAACAACGATGTGTTAGTTTCATGTTGTATCAGGTATCTATATTCAGTTTTAGTAAGATGAAGGGTTTATTGAATATATCACACTTTTGATAGGTAAGCCATTTATCTACTTCCTCAAACAAAGAAACTTTTAGAATACAAAATTTCTAGGTTTAGGGGTTTAGTCTTTATAGAAGTATCTACTTGACGCCACCTACAAGCATCTGTGGGTGTGAACATGAGCTCATCTCTTCCATTCTGCCTCTCCAAACTCCCCAGTTTCTTTGTTCAGGATTTAAGGTTAATCACAGATTGCATGCGAACTTAAAAGTTACACAATTGTTCGCTAAGTTTGCATCTGCAGTAGACCTGTAAATTTAACTTTATACGTTAAGCTATTATCATTTGCAATAAACTTAATGAACAGTTATTAACGAGAATCATTTAAAGTAAGTGATGAAACAATATTCTTTTTCTGCTGTCATTAAAAAAAATATTCTGCCTCTTCTAGGTTTATATGTACTTACCCTATAATGCAAGAAGTAATTATAGCCTTACATAGGTTGTATCTAAACATCATAGGAAGGGAATGTGTTGCACTTCATTCCTCAGGTTTTTTGAACATTTCAAACTGTTGAATAGGATGCTCTGTTGATAGGTTATACAATTTATCTACTCCTCAAACAAAGAAATTTTCAGATTGCATCAATTCTAGGTTTAGCGGTTTAGCCTTCGTGTAGAAGTATTTTCTTGTCAATTGTCTAATTATTTGACAGTATTCCTTTACATGGTTTGCAGTTTATTTATACTCAAATTAATTCAGCTGACCTTGTCTGCCTAAAATAACTGATTTGGTTTCATGACTCCCCCTATTAACATCTTAGGGGTGAACACGAACTCATCTCCGCTACTCTGCCTATCAAAACTCCCCAATTTCTTTGTTCATTATTTAAGGTTAATCTTACAGCCATGTTAAGTTAATCTTTGTTCACGCATGCATCAAAGTTAAGTTATTGCCACGTGCAATAAACTTAACGAACAGTTATTATACGATCACTGACAAGCATCATTCCATTTCTGTATGCATTATAAATTCTATAATAAGAGCCATGTTTCTTATTGAAGCTGTCTCAATGTCATTCTGTGCCGGAATGGTTTGTGTTCTTTGATATCTTGATTGATGAGAGCAGGCCAATTTGCGCCTTGACATTGAAATACTTTTTTTTTTTTTTTTTTTTTTTTTTTTTTTTTTTTTTTTTTTGGTTGATCTAAATCTACTTTTTTACTGAAACTGTTTTACATTTATTGGTCAGATGTTCTGATGCTACCTTGGTAGAGATCCCTGTGGAAGTGGAAACCCCAGATCATCACTACTATCATGTATGATTTTTCAGCATTCAATGATCTCATCCCTTCGATCTTCTTCGTACTACTAGTCGAACCAATTCTTCATACAAGTAAATATGATTTCTTTTATTTATTTCATGCAGATTGCTCTTTTCACAACAAGGAAGGTTGATGCCATGGAGGAGCTGACTTGGGTAAGAGGGGTGTTCGCCAGTATATGATATGTTATTACCGTTTGTTTGGCACCATCATCCAACTTTCAAATGCCTATGCTGTTTCAGGACTATGGCATTGACTTTCATGACCGTGATCATGATAGCGGCCACCCCATGAAGCCCTTCAATTGTCTCTGTGGAAGCCCGTTCTGTCGTGATCGTAGTGATATGAAGGGTGATGCGCACCTACTCACTTACGTCCGACGGCGACGTAGAGTGTAGCTTCAAGCATGATGCTCTTCATGTTTCTAACATAGGTAGAATGCTTTTTTTATTTATTAAATTACTAATTTTGAAATCAGTTCTGCTGTGCTGTCTAATTGGTAATCACTCAAGCAGAATCTCCAATTTTTGCAAACATAAATTTTTCATTCCTAATCTCAGTGGATTTGGGTTTATTGTAATATTAGTTTTTTTTTAGTGGCAGTAAAAATGGCCAAATTCAGGCCCGACATGGTTTAAATGTGATCTCCAGTTTATTTGTATTAATTTTTTTTTCCAAAACTTATCAGGTATCGTTTTTGTATATATTTGTTACACGCCTCATGCATAAAATTCTGTTCTTTGCTCAAGCATGAACTAATCCTGTAAATAGCTCTCTTGGCAGAGTCAAAGGTGACCAAAAGAGTACACAATCCAGTTGCACCGCCGACATTTATTAGGCCTGCCTATCTTTAGCACAAATTAGGGAAGCCAAATGGAAGCACAAAGAAAACACAAAATACAAGCCAGCAAACACAAAGGTGACCAAAAGACATATTGTGATAGTTTGGTCCATTATTATGCAATTAGATCCATGTGGTTTGGACCTGATTCTATGAAAGGCCTTAGGGTTTTGACCTCTTTCTATTTTAACACTTCAGTTTGGAGTTGACTTGGTTTCAACATCCCCAAGAATATATGCAAGGCTGGTACTATGAATTAGCGCATTATGAAATTGAAGCACCATTTCGATTTCAGATACAAAATATATGCAAGGCTCATTGCATGTGGGCATTCACAACTAGCATGTACATACCAGCATCCAAAACAAGGTTACATGAAAACCATCTATATACCTTAGCTACAACTAAACTAGATGTGGTAAAAGGAATTGAACACCTAACTACAACTAAACTAAATTTCTTCATGGAACACTGGCATCGCACATCGATGGCCATAGGCCACCAGATCTTCACTTCTCTATCGCTAGCGCCTTTTATACAAAGATAGCCTAGATTCGATTATTCGTTTTGGAGGTTGGCAAAGCAGATGAATAAGTCTTCTTTACAGACTTCATATCAGCTCGCTGTGTTCAACATAGAATCATGATACAATCAGCAATCATAATCTTATCTGAGGACCATATATATCTTATTTAAATACGAAAAAAAAGAAAAAAAGATTTCTCCCAAAAAGTTCATTATACAATTGACGAGCAGTTAGCATACATAAGAAATACATATGAATGAAACTATGTAAATGCTAAATTGGTAAACTGCCAAGTCTCCTAATATGCTTACATTTGTCATAGCTGCTCACGGATGTAAGCCATTGATTTCAACATGGAACCTAGTGTATCTCTAGACACTTGAAATTTGACCTCCGTTTCTCCAGAAGTTGTCTTTGTATCTTGAAGCTGAGAAACCACAATAATGTAGATACATTGAACACAAATGATGACAAATTTAAGTATAAAATAATAATAATTTCATACAAAATTGGATTACTTTAAATAATAATGAATGTTGAATACAAAGGATTCCTAAGTTTGAATTTGCAGGGCCATGCATTTCTTGCTGTGTTTCCAAGTATCCTTAGTTTACTCCCAAAATTTCTAGACAGCAGCATTCCAATCTGAATAAATAGCATGAAACGCCCAATCCCTAAACTCAGAGGAAACCGAAGCCCACAAGGATGCCCAAAAATGAACTCTGTCCCACAAATGGTCTGTATCGTCCTCCTTGCATCTTCAAAAATCCTTCTAATCCTCTCCATCCATACCACCCACAATATTGTCAATGCAGCACAGCTTCCTATCACCATACCTCTTTTCCTCCCTCAAAAACAGCTCATGAATGGGGTGGCGCCCCACCATTCTTGTGCTTCTCTATTCATTAAGGAAAAAAGCTACAAGTTATATGGGACTTTGGTCCAATGACAATCTTCGGGGTGGTTTGGATGGAAAGGAATACAAGGATGTTTTAGGATAATGTCTGATGTGAACTGAGAAGCTACAGTTTCTTCTTTGGTTTTTCTATTTTTTGGGGCTGGTTGTGTAGCTATTTGTGGTTGTCTATAGGTATATTTTTGTCTTATTTTGACCTCTGGTTCATTGTACTTCTATTTAAACCTTTCCATTTCACATTTCTTCTGTTTCGTTTATTAAAAAAACCAAAATGATTTCGACAGATATCTAAATTGTCTTCAAGGACTTGGAAACTTTATAGTAGATGTGCCCTGTCTCCTTATAATAATTAAAGAATTTACAACAGACTTGATCACATTGTAATTCCAGCATGAAATAGAAATTCCAGTCTAATAATAAAGGAAAAAAATTTGCCACGTTCCTCTGTTAAAGAATGGTATGTATGAGCATGCAATTTTAGTCATTGACTGTAAACATTGCTGATTCATCAAAACATCATCATTCAACTACAGCAGGACAGAAGGAATTTTAAAAGTGAACAAATGAAAAGAGTAAGAATAGCAGTAATACTATTACTACTAATGGAAATTGTATAGTAAATATTTTTATGATGAGTTGCACCTGCATAACCACTGCTACCTCTAAGGAACATCTGCACCGCCCCTCATTGGAACCAGAACTTAATGCCCATCATTAATAACTTAATAAGCGTACTGCAATCCCAGAGTAATAGGAAACACTACTCTCAGTATGTTGTTCACAGCCCCAGAAAACATCCCAAGCTTAGTATTTCCTTCCTCAATACCCTCTTGGTATAGCTTTTCACACTCTAAAGTCCACTTATTTCCCCAACATTTTCCCAACAGGAAATCCATATATCCTTACCTTCAGGTTCCAGCCCAGATAATTCCTGCAGCTTACTTTGTTGAACTTAACCCATAATCTCTTTTGAAAGATACACAATAGTGCACTTTACCCCCATAACCTTTAAACAGACCTATTAATCCAGAAATCTTCAGTTCTAAACTCACTCAACCACCTATACTGACTACAGATAGCTCAATTCAACTTCCTGTCACAAGTCTAACTGTGATGCCAAACCAATTGCAAAATTTACAGTGAAACCCAAGAAATTTCATTGTAAATACCTTAACACAAGGGGAAAAACTGTGATGCGAAAGAGGTTGAAACTTTGGGTTTGCGTACCTTCAAATTGATGACAGCAACTCTGTTGGCTGGTGCAGAGAGCTGCTGACTGATATAGGCCATCGATCTTAACATAGGCTCAAGTGTAACTCTTGTTAGCCTAAATTGTACCTCTGTCTCGCCTGCAGGGTTCTTACCATAATCTTGGAGCTACAATAGATGTAAAAGAATATTAGAACAGCAAGACAGCCATATCAACAGCAACCTAACCTTCCTCCTAAAAAAAAAAAAAAAAAAAAAAAAAAATATATTTATTTAAATTTTAAATTTTGTTATCGGCAGGGGTGGAGACTACGTGATAGGGGATAGACTTTACAGTAAAGAGCTAGTACCAGGCTATAGACATCAGTGGTCCAAATTCAGCTATTATGCCTGAGTAAATTATTTGTAAATGTAAAACGAGAAGAATAATCACTAGTTTGTTCTTAAAGGGTCCAAATGGGAACTGCGTGAATATTTAAATGGTTTCCAAAAGATGCTAAATCACCTCTGAACTAAAGTCACATTAGGTTAAAGAGAAGTACTCACCAGTAACTTAAGTTGAGGGACAAGTGAGGGCAATGGATTCAATGATTGGATACGCAACTGTTGATAATCAATAACACAAGGGGAAAAATTGTGCCTCACGTATCACTCAACTTAAATCACTCAGGTTGAGGAACAAGCCAGGACAACACAATGATTGGATTTGACACAATTCTTGAGATCAATAATTCATTGAAGTGAATCTAGCTTGTAAATGCATTGTGCCTCACTTATCCCTTAACTTAAATCCCTCCTCACTTCTAATAATTAAGTTAGCATGAGAACTCTTAAGTGAAATTAAAGATAACTCAAACATACAGGATAGTAAAGTCGGAAAATTCTACACATATACAGAAGAGACATGCATACCTTCAAGTTGATAACAGCCACTTTCCCAGCTGATGTTGAATTCTTATTTTCTATGATCCATGCCATGGACTTGAAACAAGTAAGGACAACCTACATCAATAATAGAAACTATAAGAAGTCAACCCTATATCTTTATAGAAGGTATTCCAAAATAAAAATCTAGAGATCTCAGGTATAATGGAAAGTTGGAAACACATAGCAACAAAAGAGGTATAAACAGAAACAAACGAAACAACTATCAAACCTCCTTTAGATTCATACCGTGTTATCAGGATGGGCACCATCAGGATGAATAGAGACGGGGGCCATGCTGGGCTGATTCAAATCAGCAACAGGAACTCCTCCATCATTAAGATTAAAGCGATGTGGCAATGCTTCTTGCCAAGGCCACAACGAGGGGGCCATTTCGCCAAGAGGCAGTGGGGATTTCTTCATATTATCTTCTTGTATATTTCCACTAGCCTGAGAACTAGGAGGTGTGACTTTAGCAACATTTTTCTTCACAACAGAAATCTTTTTCCCACCCTCTCGTAGAGCACTCATTGCTGCATTGTAAGTCTCCACAGCAATTGCCCCTTCCTCTGCATATTTAATTGCTTCCCGACATAAATTGTTAAAACGCATGTTTAGTGTTTCAATACCTTGGTTCTCTGAACTCTGTTCATCTAGTCCAACCCCAGATTTGGCATTTCTTGTCCATCGCTTCAATATGTAATGTGTTGGAAGGGTGAGAACATTTGTCACCGTGAAGACAGTCAAAATATGTCTACAGAGGATACCGAATATTCAAACATCTGACAGCTGCAGCTCGATTTCATCTCGGAGACATTTAATGTGACTATATACGCCTTGTCATCATGTTCATATTTTGCAACCCTGTACTTACTAACCAGTCCATCACCCTCAATTTTATTTGCAGTATAAACAAAAGTTTCTACCAATTCCTCTTGAAACTTTGCGAAAACCTTTTTGGTATACAGGTTAGCTGCCTGTTGTTCCATTGGTGATGGTGTCTTCAGTACTGGTGTTGTGCACATTGTATCATAATCTGCTTCTATTTCTTTTTCTAATGAAAGTTCTAGAGCCCTTTCGTACTGCTTAAAAAACAGAGGTATACTTGTCTGTTGATTCACATAGCCATCAAAGAAAGAACTAACACCTTGGTTTGAGAAAATTGCAGCAAAGAAAGTACCACGAAAATAGACTGGGGCCCATTGCTTTCGAGCATTATACACTGCCTGCAGCCAGTCATTCCTCAGAAGATCGTATCTCTCAAGAAGGGATGCCCATGATGATTCGAAATCCTCAATTGTCTCTGAAAAGTTGATGCAGCTATATAGCTCTCCATATAAGGAAGGATGAGCAAGATATGTATGAGCCAGTCGTTCTTGTCCTTCTCTTAAAATATGCCACTTGCATATGCAGTGCCGCGTTTGTGTAAATACCTGAGCAACTGCTACTTGTATGGCTCTATCTTGGTCTGTAGTTATAGACACAGGAGGCTTATCATTCATGGCAGAAAGCCAGGTCCTAAACAGCCAAGTAAAGGAAGACTCGGACTCATCTAGAAGTAATGCACAACCAAACAATACCATCTGACCATGATGATTTACACCAGTGAAAGGAGCAAATGGGACTTGGTACTGATTTGGTCGATACATTGTATCAAAAATTACAGCATCACCAAAGTAATTATAAGCTGTCCTAGATCTTGCATCAGTCCAAAAGACATTAGTCATTCGGTTCTCATCATCAAGTTGGATAGCATAATAGAAGCCAGGGTTTTCAGCCTGCATCTTCTTGAAATAGTTAAGAAGATTTTGAGCATCTCGTCCAAGTGTTCTCTTTCGGCTAGACGGCCTTATATAGTTAACAGGCCCAAGATTCCTTGCTGGGTGATTTGGTTCTACAGGGGAGACACTCCTACCTCCACGATTGGGTTCATAAGAGACATGATTACCCTCTGTGGCAAAGTAAACATCAGTAGTGGCATCCAAAGTCTCAGCTGCATTCTTTGTAGCACCAGCAAAGTGCCTACGGGGTCGAAGGTAATGGACCTTACTAGGACTTACCATAGAATGGTTGTGGTCCTCAACAAACTTCGTCGCAACCCAACTGTTTGCACCCTTTCTCTCTATACGTAGCATGGCATTGCAGCTTTCTACGTTCTTTCTTTTGAATACCTCTCTCGAACATGCAAAATCCCATGTCACAATTGGTCCATCAGGCTTAGTACGACTGAACTGACCAACGTGGGTGCTAAAACCTACATGCCTGGAATATGCATCATAAAGAGTCTTGGCAGCCTCCTCTGATTCGAATTCCATTCCCACATGTGGCTTAGTATTCCCATCATCCTGAATACTTATTTCCCTCCCTGTAAAATTTTGATTTACATTCTGCTTTTCACCTGGTTCAGTGTTTTCTTCCATGTGATGTTCCATGTTTTCCCCCTCAACATCTACCACCACTTCAGTGTCCATGACAGTTTTCTGAAAGATATGAACAACTATATCATTCCTTTTGGGCTGACTATGAAAGAGTTCCTCATGGCTATCCCCACCAAAGCGTCAATAAAACAAGCTGATTACGTATACAAAAATATATATGAACTAGAGCTAATATATAAAAAATTTAAAAAAATTAAAAAAAAAAAAAAAAAAAAAAAAAAAAACCGACCGAAAAAAAACAATTCAGCCAAGGAGTAAGTGGTTGTTCACCAATACCCTGCTCAGGAACACTCAATGGAAGGAGAAGAGCAAAACCTAACAGCAATAACCAAACTTTAAGAAATATCCTGATGAATACTTCACGTTGCGCAATCCATTTTACGTTTCCACGTGTTTAACATGAATTCTTGCCAATGTATCATTCCTAACATGACATGATCATAACACAATTTGAGAAGGACTTGAGGTGCTGCATTGCATACCTTTGTATGATCTTAGGAGTGCCAAAATCTTTGTTCAATATTTGTTTAAAAATTAAAAATGTTTAGAGTAATTCCTGATTTCTTTGGTTTACAGAAGAAAATTCAATAACAAAGGAAGAAAAAGAGAAAGCCGTTCAGCATTATCATTACTTTTTTTTTTTAAATTTAAACTAATTCGTAACATTTGGCAACCACATAACAGAGTACCACTTTTCTATTTCTTCTTTACCCAAAACTATGACAACTGCATATTCCCATCAGCACTAAAACCACTCACCATACAAGCATCAACAATATCCCAACCCACGTTTTCCATTTCCAAAATTAAAGTAAAATTCACTTCTGTAATCAGTTCAAGAACCCAGAATGTTGCTAAAACCAAACAAAAGGCTTTCAACAAAATGGGATCAAATGGAGCAAAGAAATATGCATAAAAAGTAAAGCCTCACCTGGTTTCTTCAAGCCTCAATTTTCCGATAGGGAATCCAAGTGCCATTGTGGTTTCAGTTTTCAGAGCATGTGTTTTAGGGTTTGTCAATTGGGGGTAAGTGAGAGTTTACGAGCATAGAGCTCCAATTATTGTTCTGAAGGAGTAGCCGAGTGACTGAGTATGAGGACATATACCCCAAACCCAAACCCAGACCCAGAAAAGAGACTGTCGTCTTCGTCTCTACCTTAATTTTCCTTTTTACTTTTTTTCGGTTGACATTTTCACCCTCCAAATTTTTCTTTTTTAATGTTTCGTAATTATTACGTGTACGTATGGTGCACGTGCAATTGCTTTCGCCAATTTGGGGAGTCCAGATCTTCAGTTATTATTTTTGCTCACCACTTTAACTAAAGATGTATTTTATGTTCTTCTCAACACTTGACATGTGTCTCTTGGCATAACCATAGTTAACTTTTTACTTTGTATTTATGCAATCATGGTTATGTCAATAAATACGTGTCAAATGTGAGAAGGGTTGTGAGGGTACACCTTGAGTTAAAGTGGTGAGTAAAAATGCACTCATTGTAGTTTTTCAAATTTTCCGCGAATTATTGAGGTGATATTTCGCAACACTCAAAGCTTGAATTTGGTTAATTTATTACCGAGCGCACAATCCGCACAAGTAATATAAAAGTAAGTAAAGTGTTGTTCCCACGAAGACTGTAATTTCCTATTAATTACCAATTATGATTAACTCAAGAGTTTATTTGAACAGTTGATTAAGAAGATTGATTGATATTTAAGTAAACTAAAACAATTTTGAAAAATAATAATTTAATTAATGATAGAAAATCAAGATGATGAAACACTAGAGCATCCAATTTCACCATAACCAATTCCACTTAATTCTTAAACCCAATTAACCCTAATTACTATCCATGTTGACAGTTAGTTTCTCCTAATTCATTCAATATCCCCTCTCGGACTCAACCAAAAGTATTCTCAATTAATAACCCATTGTCTCTCAAGCAATGGATTTAGAAAACCAAGAACCCATTAAGTTCTATGAGAACCTGCAAGAAAACTGCATGAGTCATGTTAGTCCCTCTCGGGCACACATTCAAGACATGGTATTTGGTACAAGAAGCAAACATCAAACATCTCATCTTGGTCTCCACTTGGATCATCAAATCAATAAATATTGGCACGATATTCAAAGCATAAGAACAGTAACAAAAACTCAACATGGAATAGTAATCAAGAATTAATATAACTATAAAAATTAAGTATTCATGGTTAGGCTACATCGTAGCCCTAGCAAGGAAATTAGTTCATGACAAAAGAAAATATAAACAAGAGAATTATTGTCATAAAACTGATTTGGCAGATAGACTTGATCTCTAGATTCTCCACAGTAACCACTTCATAAGCTTCAAAAGCACTGCCGCAGCAACTCTTGGCTTTCTCTTTGATATATTTGTGGGTGTAGTGAAATATGGTGAAAAGTCCATGGTAGTAAAAGATGATGGTATGAAGAGATCCTTAGGGTGACCTTATATAGTGTAAAACAACTAAACCCTACTCCTAAAGGTCTAGAAAACTCTCCCAAAGCAAAAACAAAATCTCAACAATTAAGGAAACAAATAGAAAAGAATCATTCTTGACTTGGAAACACATTAGCCAACTTGCATGCTCTTTTTGGGGTCATTCTACTTCCTAGAAATTCTAGAAAAATATGAGAAACGTAGCTTTATCTCTAAGCTTTCCAAGCATATATTACACGCTACTAGGAAAAAATCAGAAAGGTCTTCAAATCTTCAATAATCTTCACAGCAGTGCAGTTCTGACGGGATTTCAACTTAGGGTGTCTTGATTTGCAGGTCTGGAGCATTTGGCCTTGCACTAAAATTCATTCGAAAAGTCGATTTTCAATTGAAATCCTTCCAAGAACGCAGAATAGCTGAAAATAAGAAAAATAAAGTAATAATACTATTTTTAATTAACTTTCCCTACAAAGACCAAATAAAAGAGGTATAAAAAATATAGGAAATAATGCACTTATCACGTATATACGCTGACAACTTGACAGCATTTCTAACTCATTTGAAATTTCGAAAAAAATTTCAAAAGTTGCAGAACCCCATCCAACATATCATTTAATGCTAACAGCAGCTTATCCACCTAGGCGGATGATTTTTTGTGTCTTTCCTTATTTATGTTAAATTAATCCACACCAATTATATGCTTTTGTCTTACAAAATGTTTCTCACAATATCCCTTATATCTCTTACTACATTAAAAATAACTCTAGCTGAAGGTAATACTATTATTATGTTTATGTTCGGAAATACTTAAAACTCTTATTATTCTCAGCGAGCATTATATGCAATCCTAGTCACATAAATCCACCATACACTTAAGTTTATCAATTCTTTGGTTAAATTGTTAGAAAATTGTTTTAAACAAGCATGTCTATAGTTTCATTCAAAATTTCCACATTTTTCTAATAATTTTCATGACTTTTCATAATTTTTAACGATATCGATGCTTTCCTAATATTTCCATCGATATTTTCCGCTTTTTTGGACCATCGATATTCCCAAATTCCTGATATTTAATTCCTTAATTAAACCTAAGAAGAAGAAGAAGAAGAAGGAGAAAAAAGAAGAAGCAACAGACAATGAAGAGGAGGAGGCAGCTATAGCTAAAATGAATTGTATGCAAATGAGGGGTGAAGAGAATCTAGTGGGATAAGGGGTATTGGTTGGCATCTCATAAAGGAAGGAAGACCGAGATTTTTCTATAAAAAAATTTGGATGGCCAAGATTAATATGTTAGTTGAGTCAACAGTCAGCAGTCAATATACGATCAACACAATGAATAGCTGAGATTCAATAGTCAAAAGTCAACATAAATGGATGACTTGGTTGAGTTGGGGTAGGTGACACAACAGTCAACATTACACAATCAACCGTCACTATCTAATCGTCACTATTTCACCACATGGCACCTGATGACCCTTTAACCAATCTAGTTATGCCACATGGTGCAATGTTTACTGCCTTGTCACTGCCGTGCAAGCACCAAATAGATTCTCCAGATTGTACCACGTGTCACTTCTTAATAGATTAATTATTTTTTTATTTTCTAATACTTGAAAATTTCACCAAATAACTGTAGACTCTAAAAAATGCTATGGACTCATAATCACGTTTAGGGGTGGCATCAATCCTCCGATCGACGACTATTCGACTGAACTGATTATATTGGTTTGGTTTGGTTTTGGACTAAAGAAAAGTCAACTGTTTGAAAAACTGAATTGAACTGGTTTGGTTTGGTTCAACTGCAGTTTGGGAGTTTTGTAAACTGTCCTAAACCAAGCCGAACTGATTATAAATCAATTTATATTTGTTTATTTAATTTACATGTGGCAAGGCTTGAATGGGTTATTTGAAAAGTGTACCACGTACCTTCGGCACCTGATTGGACTCGAAAACTAAAACTCACATACTCTACTCTATCTGTTCTCTCTCTCATTCCGTAATTTCCTAACCATAGCCGTAACTCCCTCTCCCTCTCAGGCTCTCACCGTGGTTCTCATTCAACCTCAAAGCTCGACTCCATCATTGACCACCAGTTCAACCTCAAAGCTCAACTCCTCCTCCTCCTCCTCCATCTATAGATTCTACTTCGCCCACTTCCATCAAGAAAGCTAGAGGCTGACCACCTGGTTCTACTAAGAAGCAACAATTGGATGCTTTGGGTAAAGCTTTTTTCTTTTTATTATTCTAAATGGGTTTCCTTAAATCGTTTGAATCTTATTGGGTTTGCTTTAATTTTTTTTGTGGGTTTGCATTTTAAATCTACGTGTGTATGTGTCTTTGATATTGCTATTGTTTTTTCTTTTGCGTTTACCCTTGTTTGTCGCATAGTGATTTTTAATGTTCGAGTGAGCCGTTGGGTTTTAATTTAGGCAACAATGCTTTGACTTATTCCCATACCAGGATCAACTAGTTCTATTTTATGTGCTTAAATCCTCGTCAAAAAAGGGGAGAAGACATACATCATCAGACACACAAACCTATTTTTGGTCTTGCATTTTTTGTCCTTAGACTTAGGATTTTACTTTTTCAAGCACTTAGTGTAGCGAGTTCTTCCTTTTCTTAGTGTAAGTTTACTTTCTTGCAATTTACATTATCTTGTCTTTTAAATTCAAGTCTATGTCAATTGCTTTACTTCTCATTGTTATCACATTATCAGTAGGTATAATTTCAGGTATAATTTAGTTTAAAGTTCTTATCATTCTTATTCGTTCTTGCTTTATTTTACGTTTATGTAATACCCCCAAAAATTAAAGGTGGACTTTCGTATTTCAGTGAGAACAGTATTAGAGTGAAGAATGATATGGGTATTTTATCAAGTTTTTGGATTGAGACTATTGGATTAAGGTGTTTCTAATTTCATGTTGGACAAAAATGCCCTATGTACCTTTTGGTGAATTTTCAAAGGATATTTAAGACATTAAGGGAGACCATTATGATTTTTAGGTAAGAGATAGTAGGACTCAACGAACATGTAGGAAATTGTTTATGAATTTTGGTCCCAAATGACCAAAATTATCGTTATGTGATGAATTACCAAAATACCCAATTGCGAAAATTACCAAAATACCCTTGTAGGGAAAAAAAAGAAAAAGAGAAAGAAAAAAAGAAAGGAATCTGAAACGTGGAGGGTAGGCCCACTCTCCTCCCATTCTTTTCCCATTGCCTCAAGTTTTCAAATCCACAAATAATTTTGGAGATGAGTGGGTATAGGTGATCATTAGCCTAAGGTGTGAGTTGGAAGGCTATTAGGATGTGAATCACCTAATCTGAGCTAAGAATAATGATGATTAATCTAGGATATTATTTTAAGGAAGAGGTGGAGGGGGGAGGGAAGGAGATGGAAGTGGTGTGAGGAAGAGATGAAGCATAGGAGGGAAGAAAGAAAAATCTTCTAAGGTGAGTGAGCTACGGAGTATGATTTTTTTCCCCATGTGATTTAAATCGATTCTAGTCCCTTGAGAG